GCAGAACCTCCAGATGTTCTTTTATTTTTTTTTTTTTTTCCCCTCCCCAAGTCTGCCTTAACAAAAGATAAAAGCGAAGTTACAATGGAAGTTCTTCGGTGATCTGTCATGAAGTCATACAGTAGTTTGGTTAGATTGTAAAGCAAGTTTTAAGACTTAAATATTTTTTTCATTCCTTCTCTTTATACTACAGCCAATTGTGACTGTATATATAAATATAAAGTGATGTTCTGCCTCCCTTGCCAGTGAGGAAGTACAACCCAAAGCGTGTTTTACACAAACAAGCTGTAGAGGAAGTTGATCTGGATATGTTTTCTCTGTTGCAATAGTTTCCTTAGCCTTGCAATGACTGTTAGTTAACTGAAAAAAAAAGATGAAGCAACTAACTCTTAAAACAATAGTTGCATGTTTTCAAAACTTACTTTGTATTCTGTAAGTTCTTTAAGTTTTGGAAGGGTCTACTGAAATCTTTTTACATTAAAAAAAAAAGCTTTGTTTTAATCTTAAGTGGTAATTCTGTTTTTAATCCATTGAGCCACAGTTTAGTAAGTTACAATTGGAAACATTGAGATTAGTTGAGTCAACATGAGCCAGCAGACAGTCTCAGTACTTTGAGTGCAGAATCTTAGTAAAATTAAACTCGGATTTTGATCGGCTTCCTTACTTTCACTGAGGTCAAACCACAAAATAACAGCATTTTAAAGTATTTGCTGATCTTGTTTCCCATGTATTAAAGTTGAGTTCTGGAGCTGTTTGAGGCAAAAGCAGAAACGCTTGCATGCAAAATAAAGCTAGGGAGAGGTAAGCGAACAAGGTTGTTTTTATTACCCTGACCAAAGGAGGATAGGGAGGAGTAGATCACTTGCATCAGTGTATTGCTGGCAGATCTAAAAAGCACTTGCTGTAGCAACTTAAAGGGAGCAGGCTGTGCAAGGGAGAAATACTGCATGTGTTAGACACTTGAGATAGATGTGAAAATCGAGACCTTGGCTTAGGCTAAAGATAGGCTGGGATCATTTACAAGACACTGTATACACTTGATCTGTAATATTGAGGCTAGGAGAGTCACTGTAATATGGTAGTGAAATAATTTTGAATGGTGCATAAACAGAAAGACCTTAATGTAATTCTTTACTTCTCAGTTTTCTGCTTTTGTATACTTAGCCAGCAGCATTACCGTTTAATGTGGAAATGATGTATACAGCAATTTTCATCCTTCCAGAATGCAGCATGAAAGGAAAGTTATTTACCAGTAGCTCAAGTTCCCTTGCCAATGGTCTCTGCATATTTTCCTTTCTGTTTCCTTAGTTTGTGTATTCTGGATGTGGAGGCAGCAGCAAAATTTTGTGCTTTCTGCATGTGGTCTTGATCGTAAGGTATATGTCAGGCAAACTGTTTTAAAGACTGTGGATTTGGTATAATGTTTAATTAAAAATTAGACTTTGCTTGAATTCAACTAATTAATCCAGTTTTTCTTACAAAATATAGAATGTAAAAGAAGAAAGTAAGGGGAAAAAGGTCACAAAAATTACCTTATATAGTGACATGTAGTGGCAAAAAGATCATTATGTCTTTTCTCCTTCGCCTTTGGTCTTAGGCTTTCTGAATCCTGCACACGATCTAAAACATAGGATTTGTAACATGCTGACTTCTTCTATTCGGTAGGGTTGCATGGAGGGGAGAAGAAAAAGGGCATGGTATATGGTAGTCAGTTAGAATTACTGGAAGAATTTGTAATCCCTTAGGCAAAAGTTCCAGTTTCAAAGGCTGATGGACACAGATACGCAAACTGTTGTTTGAACTCATATTAATACTAGCATATACATAAATCATTTAATGTCTGTCTTCAGCTGAAAAATACGTAATATTTGGTTTCAGTATAGCTGCAGGTTTGTATTTGAGATGTGCCTTTGTGTTCATTAAAACTGATTTAGGATGTAGTAGTGGGTGAATTGGTTGATCTAACAAGTTTTGAGTCAACCTGCGCTGTGCCATATGCATTAATCCCCTTTACGTGATCACATAACACACTACTAAGTTATGTTTATAAGGAATATAAGGCTCATAGCACAGCTTTTTCCATGAGATAGTGTTGAACATTAGTCAGTTGAGGGGGTTACTCCGCTGTATTTTGCGTTAAGAATATATATAGAACTTAGGCTGCAAAGCACAAGAGCAGTTATTACCTATGGTAATCATGTGGGTGGGTAATAGGGCTGTGCCTAGCTGTGTTCAAGGAGTATAGGCATCTCTAGAGGAGGAGGAGATGAATAATGGCTTGGTTGGAAGGCCAAAACTCTTACCTGGTTTATCTGAGAGTTAACAAATCCTGGAAAGGGAGGAAGGGAAAACTGAACAGTCCTCTAAGTGGGTTTTAAGATCCTCCGCATATTAGAGAGCCTATGCTCACAGGCTCTGCCTCCTCAGATTAATCAGACAGTGTGGGTGATGTACAGTTACTAAGCCACACATATGCATCAAGACAAAGAAAACCCTGGATCACTGTCACTTAGAGAGTACTGTCTTGGGCAATGAAGTCATCCTCTTGCAAAAAAGTAATTATGACCATAAAGACTTCAGCCTCCCAGTTCACTAAGATAAATTAAGATAGTGTTGGCTAAATTAAGTTCAGACAGTTGGGTAACAACTTGCAGTGTAAATATATCTGTCTGGAAAGGGTTTTGGGTTTTTTAACGTCTGTAGCACAGTTTTTAAGTATGTGCAGCTGAATAACAGTAGAAAACAGACCATTAAAAGTAGCCCATAATTGCTGTATTTCAGAACAGGTTGGCTAAGGGGATCTTACAAAAGAAAATAGTTTGGGAGGAGGTTGTTTTAGCACTTCTGTTTATATATCACAGAACAAAATTATTTTCCATTTTGTATGCATAAGTTTCACCTACTATACTTCCTTTCAGAGCCTGACTGAAAAGTTAGTACACCACCACTAGATAATAACAACATGACTGACTGAGGTGGGAAGTCAGTTTTATGTAGCCTAGATAAATAACTGTTAAACTTCACTTTGCCTACATG